TCTCTCTCTCTCTCTCTCTCTCTCTCTCTCTCTCTCTCTCTCTCTCTCTCTTTCTCTCTCTTCTATGCCCATTGTTCCAACATGTACACCCCCCCAAAAAAAGTTCCCTTTTGCTATCCCTCTGGCTTATTAAACAATAGTTCTGTCATTGTTACAAATGTCTGCTTTGCATTACTCTAGCCTTGCAGTTCTGTAGTTCTCAACTCTGACGTTTGACATTTCTTTGCTTTGCCTCGCTTGTACCTTGTAGGAACAAATCAAAACGCTCTTTCCATTCCGCTACTTTTTGCATCTCTTCCGCTTCACGTCATGCATCGTAGAGGCTTTAGTTGTCTTTGGCTTACAGTCTTTGGCAGCTCTGACATACACGGACGAGTGTTCTTAGTCGATAAAGTTAAACAGTTGGGTGGGTTTTTGTTCTGAAGTTTTTTTTGTTGGTGTTTTTTTTTTAGGGGGGGGGGGTGAGTGAGTGAAAGGAGTTCTAGAGAAATGGAGAAGGCGAGCATTTCTGTTTCTTTCTTTTGTTTTTGTTTTTTAAAAACTGTTTTGCTCGTTTATCAATTCACAATGGTTGTATTTTGGAACCTGTTATCAGCTTCGTTAGTTTGAAAGAAAATATTGACGTATATACACAATCTAAGTGAAGTAATTCCAACAAAGTAATTCCAACGAAGTATTGTCACTGTCATGTTTCAATCTTTTTCATGTAGCGTCCCAGCTCACAGAGAAGAGCTTTAGAAACCTGACTATTTCAGAGCTGCCAAGGGAAAAAAACGGTTTCTTCATTTTCAGTTCAGAACTTTCCACTTTCCTTTCGCATTTCCATTTTGTTTTGTTCTTCTGTAAATTTCTCTCCGGTGGCACGCGGTTCTTTAAAGTTTTAGACAACACAAATTTGTCCACATCACACATTGCTAAAGAGACAGCCCTTCTCCGATGGTGGTTGAAGGAAGGAAATCGTTAAAAACTGCCACAAATATTGATGACACTTTACAGTGGATAAACTTGTCCCTTACTGGACGTGCACTCTATGTTATTGTAATGTATTGACCTTTGACCCTCCACTTGATGTAACTGCCCCCTTGCCAGAGGAGAGCCGCCACTTTCTGGACACAATAACAATGGACTACCTGGGTAAACCGTTCACCGTCTCACAGTCTCACAGACTCACAGTCTCAGTCTCACTCACAAACTCACAGACTCACAGTCTCACTCAAAAATCACAGACTCACAGACTCACAGTCTCACTCACAGACTCACAGACAGACTCACACACTCACTACTCACCTTGTTTAAGCGTATTTTCGTTACTGGGTGTGGTTCATGTCTCATATTTTTGCACTCAGATTTACACTTTATTAAACGTCGGGATTAAAATGGGGTATGTGGTTTTTACACTTTTACTCTTCCTCTTTCGGTATTAACTTGAACGTCCTGTCTAGATTTCATCGCTACATTGTCGAGAATGAGACTTCTTCAAAAATTAAAAATCTCTTAGTTACCAAAGGTACTCTCTAGTCTGAAAACGTTACAATAAATAAACACGTTCAATTTATTATGGAAACGTACTGTACAAGTACATCTGAACATAAATTTTATCACGATCACTTACCCCCTCCCCCCCTCCCCCCTTTTTTCACCCCTAGCATCCCCCCCCCTTCCCCCTTTTTTTTCACCCTTAGCATCACCCCCCCCCCTCCCCCCTTTTTTTCACCCCTAGCATCCCACCCCCCCCCCCCCCCTCGCCTACAAAAAATATAGGATCCACTTAATTCATATCAACTCTACCCTTTACCCTTCTTTGCCATTTTAGGATTATCAGTTAGATCTGTCCATTTGAAATTCTCGTAATTTCTAGGTTATTATTTCCCTGCTTTATTCTGCTCAAGTTCACCTTTTTTTCTGTGGCATCTAACAGTTTTCTATATCTCTGAAAACACAATCGGGAAAGGGGAGTGTACCCACACCGTGCCACCTGCTTTGTTGTTCCCCACATTTTCCTGTGTGTTTTGTACACTTGGCTTGTTCCTCTCCCCCGCTGCTCCCCCTTTCTCTGAATATAATCGCTGCTTATTCCCCTTCATTAAGGCCTCTCAACAGACAGCAAGAAATCTGGGGAGGACACGGACCACGAGGATGTCGTCCCTGTGTCTGCTGATCTCCCTTTGTCCACTGATCGCAAGGGATATCCTGGGGCTGGGGATGGGGAGGAGCGAGTTTCTGGTGTGTCCAGTTTGGGGGAGGGTATCTTAGAGAAAACTTCGCCAGTACTTGAGAAAGAGGTAGAAATAAGCGGGGAAAATCCTGATGTTCAGGTCATGCTGATGGAAGAGCCGTCTTTGATTTCTGAGAAGGATGATGAAGATGAGGATGATGAAGATGAGGATGAGGATGATGTGCCAGTGCTCGTCAGAAAAGTTGTTGTAGCAGACGAGGACAGTAAAGAAGACGTAGCTAGAACCGGCGCGGACAAACCAGGTCCCGATGATGTCCCGGATGGAGATGTAAACACGACACCAGAAGTCCTCTCTGAGCAGACGTCTGTGGTCAAAGACGTGACGGACAGCGAAGAGCAGAGCACTGCCCCTATAGCAGACGGTGGTGCGACTCCAGACAACGTTGAGTGGATTCTTCTTCCCTCAGAGGAGGGCGACTTCACCTGGTCCCGTTCTGAGGGAGAAGATCTCCGACCACAAACGGAAGAGCCTGTGGGGAGTAGCAAAGAACCAGATCAACAGACATCGTCCCCAACAGCGCGTGTTATTGGCGTTTCTTTTAGTGACTCGTCGGAAGAAAGTGGGAGTTCTTCATCGCTTGAGTTTGTCAGTTTTGAGGAGGAAGAAGAGGGAGATAAATCTTCTCCCGCTGTAGAGGTGGTTGTGGGGGACGCGGAGAGGAAGACATCCCCTCCGGCCGAGAGAGGTGCTCCTGAGACAGAAATTGGAGATGCAGAAACTTCCTCGTTCCTTCTTTCTGTCGATTCTATGACGTCACCTGGTGGGACGGAAGCCGGAGACTCTACTGCAGTTTCGGACACATCCCTCATGGCGCCTGACACCAGCACGGAGCTGGACTCCTTTGTGGACGCCATGGAGGTCGCGGATGTGACAGACGACGACTGGCACCGAGATAACCTTGACCTCAGCTCAGAGGCTACAGTCGACCTGTCCTTGACCAACATCGTCCCTGACAGCTCTGATGACGTGTCTCAGGATGTCGAGGACAGTTCCTCGGAGCCTGGCTCCAGCGCTGGCGACGGATTTCCTTTGGAACCGTTGGATGGAGAAGAAAGTCAACCTGTTGCTGATGTAGATAGTGTGTCCTTGTTACCACTAGAGAGTGAGGAAAAAGACTTCACTTCTGTAGATGAAGATACAAACACACCATTGACCGATCAGGTGAAAAGGGACACTCCTGTATCACACGTCGACCATGAAACAGATGGAGAATGGACAGTTATGTCAGCAGACGATATCGAGATAGGTTCTTTTGCATCATCTGAAACAGCGGATAAACCTTTGACTTCTGGGGTTGAAGAAAGACAAGTGGATGCTCCGTCACTAGAAGTGAAGGTTGAGGTTAGAGAACGTCTCGGAGAAGAACAAGCTGTTGAAGAAACAGACAGCGAGAAGCCTGTAGAGATATCATGTGAGTTGCCTGGTGAGACTCCTGTCCAGGAGAAGGACACTCCTGCTCTAGATACCATAAGTCCTCCATCAGCTGAAGAATCTCCGGTATCGAGAGAGGACGCTCGTGTGTCACCGGAGGTTTTGTCAACAGACGAACCAACAACAGGAGCTGTCGCACTGGACGACGCAGGAGAAACAGACGTCACTGGAGTGGACATTGAAACTCCTGTATCACCTGAAGAAACTCCTGTGACTGTTGAAGAAACTTCTGTATCTGTTGAAGAAACTCCTGTATCTGTTGAAGAAACTTCTGTATCTGTTGAAGAAACTCCTGTAACTGTTGAAGAAACTCCTGTATCTGTTGAAGAAACTCCTGTAACTGTTGAAGAAACTCCTGTAACTGTTGAAGAAACTCCTGTGACTGTTGAAGAAACTCCTGTGACTGTTGAAGAAACTCCTGTATCTGTTGAAGAAACTCCTGTATCACCTGAAGAAACTCCTGTATCACCTGAAGAAACTCCTGTCACATTTGAAGAAACTCCTGTAACAGTTGAAGAAACTCCTGTATCTGTTGAAGAAACTCCTGTATCTGTTGAAGAAACTCCTGTATCACCTGAAGAAACTGACGTGGTTGAAGAAACACACGCCACTAGAGTGGACGTTGACCTTTCCTGGAGCAAGTCGTCGACAGTAAGCAAGGTAGAGCGTACGTCAATGACTGACCAAACTGTGAGTGGGACCACAACGGAGGAGCTGTGGGAGGAAAGTGTACCGGAGATTTTAGAGAGTTCTTTCACCTCGGAAACTGTAGATGAGTCTTTGACTTCTGACGTGGAGGAACGGAAAGTGGGTACTCTTGATGAAGTCACGTCAGAGTCAAACGTGGATCTGAGAACAGAAAATGGTGAGCTTGAGGTTGGAGCAGATGGACAACCTGCTACAGATGTGGCCGTGGTTGATGTGGATGTCTCGTTCACGGACGTGACAACTTTCGAAAAGTCCGAAATAACATCCGAGAGTGAAGAAATCATTAGCTTGACCTCACGTTTGGACACCTTTGCTGAAGAAACGCCTGGATATATTGAAGAACGTTCGTCCAGCTATGAGATACGCGTCAGTAAATCTACGGAAAGAGAAACGGAACCTCCATCAGAGGAGACTGAGGTTGAGGTGAGGCCACAGATTGAGAGAAAAGACGTTTTGGAACCAGAGGACATCGGCCCAGCCACAGTTGAGAGAGTGGATGGATCTTACACCAAACCTGAAGTGTGGGAAGAGACGTCTAAAACAGAGAAAGTTCTCGCATTTACGGCTAGTACAGACATCCTTGGGGAAGAAATGCCGGCGTTGAGAGAAACACTCCCACTTGCCCAGAGACCTTGGGGAGAGCAACCCACGTCCGAGATATTCCCATCGGAGGAAGATGACATCACACCGGTCACTACTGTAGAGGTGAAGGTCAGGAGGTCAAGCGATGCCACACCTGACTCGGTTTTGCACGATGAAGATGGTGCCCCAGTTCCGGTGACGGAAGATGGACGACCGACATCTCCACAGACATCGCCTGAACCTCAAAAGACGGAAGTGGAGATTTCAGTAATTAAGTCCACGCCGGCCGCGGTGACAACAACAACCGTTGCCATAACAACGACAACCGTCATGTCGGAGACGTTGACCAGTGCTGTGACAACCACCACGGTTCTGGCATCGACCACCACGGCGCCTACAACAATGTCCCCGAGCCTTGACCTTGACCTTTACCTGCAGCCGGAGACTTCCGTCCTCGATGACCTACGACCTCTGGGAGAGGACGAGATTGTCCCACACAGAGAGATCTCTGCTCCACGTCACGAGGTCATTGTGATGAAACGAGCTACGTTCACTGGGCCCAGGAGAATGGAAACGGTCAGCAGACTGCTGGAGGTGAAGCCAGAGCAAGAGAAGAACCAGAGTGAGAAGCCGATGGTCAATATTGATATCTCCGTGAACGAGCAGAGAGCCGAGCAGATTTTCAAGCGACTGGCCATGAGCCGAGAGGTCACTTCAATGGTGACGATGCGCGAGAGCAGCGTATTCTCCACGGATGAGGAGATGTCCAGTCCCTCGCTGGACACAAGCATGGACGCCCCGCCCTCCACCCGAGACTCCTCGCTAGGACCAGACTCTGGCTTGACCCCTGACGAGTACCTGAGGACGAGGAGACCCTCGCTCCGCCGAGACTCCTCGCTAGGACCAGACTCTGGCTTGACTCCCGACGAGTACCTGAGGACGAGAAGGCCCTCGCTCCGCCGAGACTCCGAGACTGTGATCAGAGAGACACTCGTGCCCTGGACACCCCAGGAGCTGGCAGAGACTGAAGATGAAAACGACAACGTCGACGATGACGGGACAGTGATGCAAATCAACATCTCGTTCGATGGGATGGAGAAGCGCCTGTCCTCTGAACGTTTCACCGCGAGCCAGGAGAGAACGAGAAGGTCAAGGTCAAAGACTCGCGAAAGCTCTGAGGGAGAGTCTGAGGGGGGCCCTCTGGACAGGTCGTTGGTTTCTGAGTCCATGTCGTCGCTGCCGGAAGATGAAGAAGAGAGCGATGACGTCAGCGAGATCACAAAGGGGCTGAAGATCCCAGTGGTGACCGTTGAGTCTGAGGCAGAAGATGAAGACGGCGCGGGCAGGATGGAAGAGACTGTCCTGGAAGTGGCCAAAATCGTAACGGTGACCATCCGATCTGACAAAGTGACCAAGAACGTGTCAGACATCTCCATCAAGCTGGGAGCGAAAGGCTTGGGCTCAGGGACTGCCGAGAACCCCCTGACTCTGCCCGATGTGTCGTCCCTCTCTGACGAGATTATGGACAGACTTCGAGAAGTACAAGTGAGCAGAAGTCCCTCCGTCGACAGATCCTCGCTGGGGATTCCAGAAATCATCACTGAACATCCGGCGGAGGACGAGGTGTGCGGACCAGAGGACTTGGTCATCTCAGGACTTGAACCCGGGTCAGAAACTACGCCTTTGGACACTCATCAAGCCGGGAACGACGATGAAATGAGCCACAACTACACACAGTCAGAAACGTCAACACAGTCTGAGATGTCTGTGAGAGAAAAGCCGGACGAGCGTGCCATAGACGTGGACAGTAAGGGAGAGGTGAGGGTCACCACGTACCCACGTGAAGAAGACGGTGATCAGATCTCGCAGGAGGAGAAAGACGCGGACTACGCGGAGACTCCTTTCTCTAGCAGAGAGACCAGAGACGATCTGGCCACTGAGGAAGTTCTTACAGGAGAACCGGACGACCGGCTTGTGGAGACTGGCGATGATGTCTCGAAGTCAGACGATCTTGATCTGTTGCAGGAAACAGAACTGTTTGAAACCTCAAATACAGAAAGGGAAACGGTTGATGAAATGCATACTGAAGAAGCCACTCCAATGAAGTCACTTCAGAAGGGGGTTGAGTCTGGTGAGGATGTCAGAACTGAAGACAAACTTAAAGAAGAGGTTCAAGAAGCTACAGAGGCTTCCATGGCAGAGAATGCAAGTTTGGAAGTCGCAGTCACTCTTTTCACTGAGTGTACCCCTGTTACATCAGAGGACTCCAGGCCTCAGGGCGACCATGGAGAGATAACCGACCTCAAACAGTTGAAGGTGGAGGAGGAATTTCGTTTTACCGAAACCCAAACCACGGAACGAGAGATTGTTCCAGAGAGTTTCACCGCGGAAGTAACGTTGGCAGAAGTGGACATTGCGAGCGTCCAGCGTGGGGGAGAGGAAGAGCAAGAAGAAGGACAAGATAAACAAACCGAAGAGCAGGAACTGGACGATGCGGAAGAAAAAGATGATAAGGTAGATGATGAGACTGTCCTGGGTGGTTTACCCGAAGAGTCTGGAAGAAATGAAGAAGCTACTGACATTGAACTGGAACACGGCAGTCTTCCAGAAAGTGAGGCCTTAAGAGAAGAGAGGCTGGTCGAGGGGCTTGAAACTTCTGAAGACGTTCCTCGGTTAGAGGAGGGAAAGGCAACTCTAGACAGGTCTTATGTGGTTTTGAATGATGAGCCGGGAAGCCCACAGAGTCGGACGTACGACAGTTTCGCTGACGACAGTCAACTGGACTACGACACGGCTGAGGAATCGTTCGGTGTTCTCTCCACGATCTCCGAGAGGACCGAGGACTCCACCTACCAGAGCACCCTCTGTGACGACGACGACGATGAGTTCTCTGAAGATAAAGACGACAACATCACAACTGAATCTGACGATACCAGCTCAGAGTTGGGATATGCAGACGACAAAAAGTTAAAGAAAGATGAAGAAACTGCGTCTCTTTCCAGAGAGAGTATCGAAATTGATGTTCAGAGAGATTCGTTATCCCCCGAGGAATGTTCTAGAGAGAAGGTTGACGATGTCCCGGAAATACAAGAGAAAGAGGACAATGACTCTCGTGAGAGGGAAGGCGTGGGTCATATGGCAACCAGTCCAAAGGACGGACAGAAACACGCCGACGAGGAGGCCACTGCAGAAAGAGGGAACTTTGCTCCGGATGAAGACTGTAAGTCCTTACCCGAGGAAATTCTTGTTCGAGAAGTAGCAGAGAAATATGAGCAAGTCGATAGATCAGAGACTTCACGAGGTACACACGAGTCTGTGGTTGATGTAAGCACAGACGAGAGGGAAACTGGTGGGGAAAGCTTAGATTATGATATTGTTGTTGGCGAAGAACGAGAACCCATCTCTGACCTTACAGGGAGACAGGACGCTAGCCACGAGCTTGATGCTGGGTTGGAGAGAGAGCGGGAAAGTGAGAAAGTTGTGGAAACTGAAGTAAGACCTACCGGATGGGATGAACAAATGGGTATCGAAGTTGCACATACTCCCAGGGACCATGAACAATTTGTCAACGAAACTGAGCCTCCAGGAGATCACGTGACACCTGACCTGTCCGATTCGGAAGAAATGTCCGAGAGGTCAGTCTCTGACGACAGTCTGGCCAGCAGAGAGGAACTGTTGGAAGTGATGGAGGACTCAGACGCTGGGAGACAGAAACTGACAACTCAGACTGATGTTTTGGAGGAAGAGGACAGCATAGGTCTTGCCGTACGCTCAAAGAAGAAGAAAAAGAAAAAGAGGAGGCTGATGGGGATAAAAGAAGAAGACGAAGAAGAAGAGGAAGACGAAGAAGATGACGAGTTCGACGATGAGGATGAAGAAGAGGAGGAGGAAGAGGAAAAAGAAAATGAAAGGGCTAGAGTAGTTGAAGCACTCTATGAACGGGGTAATGAACGGGGTGTTCCTTTAGATCGATCAGTGGACGGGGAGGATGCGAGACTGCGGTCTGAAGAAGGTATACGCACATGGAGCAGCGCATAAATCATGAATATATTATGCATAACATGCATAATCTTGATCATGCTGTGCAAGAAGGCACCTGGCATGTTTGATATTCATGAATGTCTACTGATGCACTGATCGCGGCTCGACAGATATTGATTATGTTAATTTTTGTATATTCCATTATTATTATTATGTTTCTTTACTACATCTAAAATTTGTTACATTTTCGAATCTGGTGCTTCGTCTCTTGAGAGGTGGTAGACAAAATAAAGGTGGTAGATAAAAGAGTTGATTTCTTTCCGGAATCTGCGGGGGTTTTGAAATTTTGAATATGTTTCCGTTCATATGGCTAAGGCAAATATAAGAAGCACAGGAAGAAAAATAAACACTAGAGACAAATTTGTTTGTGCTCATTTTTCTGGGGAGAAAAGGGGGGAGGGGGGGTTGTGATGGTGTAGCCGTGCGTGCCTTGTGCCTCACATGACGTCAGCTTGAGAGACGAAGCAGCCATTGTCGTGTAGGTGTGTGCTCTAGGGGGCACACACACACAACTGTCGTCTGCATGTGGAGAGAAATGGTCAAGCACAAGGGCAGAGAACTCCTCTTGCTCAATATCTGTTCATTCAGGCACTTTTCAAACTGACCATTTTAACCAAATCACTTTTATTTTACAGAATCAACACGTTGCATCGTTGATATATTATGACATGATTGGTTTTGGCTTTTAGAGCCCTTAACTAGCAATGTTATTGAAATATCACCTTTTTTGTTTGTCATTTTTAAGAGAACGCGATAGGCTGTTTCCAGGTCGTTATCGGAAACTGTCTACATTCATTTTTTTATATTCCCATCAATTCATGGACCTGAACTGTCTGCGCCTATGTTGTACTTTTTGTTTGTTCCATAGAATTACACTCTTAGACCTCGCACTGCCATGGCTGCCGCTCTCTGCTTACCCTAGGTGCCTGGCGTGTATTAGGAGCTGCTCTGTTACTCCAAAATGTCTACAGCTAATAAAATAATTAATGCAGTTCACAATTTAAAACCTACTTTGGTTATGAACTTGGATTTCAGCCATACGACTTCCCTTAGAACTGACGTGCAAAAGAAGAAAGAAACACATATTTTCTGAGTAGCCATATTCCTCTGCCGTGGTTTTACATCTATTCCACAGCACATGTCAGTACTGATAATCGTGTTGTCAGGGATAACTTAACAAGTCATGTGGTTTCCAGGGTCTATATTTATAACCATGGTGAGGGGTGTAATGTGCAATACTTTATTGAACGAATTCTTTGCGGATTTTGGAAAGAAAGGATAACAACTGCCAGATTCTCGGCTTGTTTAAACCTAACAGCTTTCTTTTCTTCAAGAAAACCTGTATTTTTTTTATTCAACAGAAAGTCAGAATACTCAAATATGTACTTGTGGATAAAGAAAGCCGCCGTACTCATTTTCACATTCACGCTCCCACTGTCACTCGTGCACACATACATAATATTTACATTCACAGCAGTGAGAATTGAATTTTTGTTCTTGATATTTTTTATGCCTTGTCGATTCTTCACTAAAACGCAAAACGGTGTTCCGTTGCATTGTCATTTGAAAGGCTAATACATGTTCTGCTTGTTGTACATTTAACTTCACCAAACTGGAATGGTTCACAAAATATATATATATAATATTTTCATTCGTTTTCTATTTTATTACATCCATATCATTATCAGTTTAGTTTACCACGCATGCCCAGGCAGCACTGGATATAGGATGCCACTCATGGAATATTCTCTAACCCTGTGTTCTCAGCACAGATACTCACGTAGATCGTAAAGCAATTTGATTGGATGTACGAGAAGTGGATCAACTTCCTAGATCCTCATTTCTGTTAACACTGATTTATTTTTGTAAATCCAACAACAAAAGTTTACTATTGTGAACTGTTCTTTTGCGGTTATGAAAATATATAGATCTATTTCATAACTTTGTAAAAAGGATTTATTTAATCGACATTCCAGTTTCTGTATTTTGCTATTTTTTATGGCTTCTCTTCAAATATATCAGTAATCTTTCAAACAAAATACATTCCTTACTTGTTTTGTTTTTTTAGATTAAAGTTTTATCCGATCAGGGTGTTATTCTTTTTGTTTCCAGTGGAGGAAAGTAGTAACACAAATAGCTTCTGTGTACTTTCCACTGTTACCTTTGTTTCACATATTCTGTTGTTTTTTAAAATAATAATTGTACTCTTACTATAGTGTTAAGACGTTTTCCCTTTTTTCTAATGACTTCTTTGACATATCTTATACGCTCGACTTTGTATCGTTATATTATGAGAAACGGTTGTGAGACTTTATGGACATAAATCTGTGAGATGTTATAACTATACGATCTAATTATCCCCCCCCCCCCCTGTGACGTGTCTTCCCCAGTTCTGGCAGAGAAAGAAGAGTCACTGTCGGAGAAAGAGAAGCTGGTCACAGCCGGTGAGTCAAACGTTACCCCTACACCTCCACCCCCCGAAATAAATGAATGAATAAATAAATAAATAGATAGATAAATAAATGAATACAGACATAAATAAATACAAACATAAATAAATAAATGAATATCTAAATAGAAAGAAAAATGAATTTTTAAAATCAATTAATTAATTAATTAATTAATGGAAAAATACATGAAGAAATGGAAATAAAAATCAACCAACCTGCATTTTCTGGGTTGGTTCATCTCATTTACGTACGCAATCGGCCTCGGAGACGGATTTCTACGAATAGATCTAGCTATCTTGCAATTTTTTATTTTAGTTGTTCTAATTCTCACATAATCAGCAAAGTCCCGAGGCGATACGATAATGTAGAATGAATGTAAAAACATTCTTTAAAAAAAAAATCTCTTACGATGAACGCCCGTCCTCTATGTTGTTCTGGTCTCGCTAAACGAATGTTCCCCGTTATTTTGTGTATTATTATTATAATCAATTTCTCTATCATCATCATCATCATCATCATCATTATTATTTTTTAAATTATTAGTATTGTTATCATTATTATCATTCTTCTTCTTGTTCTTGTTCTTGTTGTTGTTGTTGTTGTTGTTGTTGTTGTTGTTGTTCTTCTTCTTCTTCTTCTTCTTCTTCTTCTTCTTCTTCTTCTTCTTCTTCTTATCATCATTATCGTCGTTGTTGTTATCACCGCGAGTAAATCCTGGTTCCTCCCCGTGTCGTCACACCTGTCCTATATCTCGCCCACAGAAGTGGAGAAGGAGGCCGAGTCTGACGAAGACAAGAAGGAGATTTCGCCCCTGCCTACTGAACAGGCGGTCGTGGAAGGTGAGGGATAGGCTTAGTGTTACTACCACTTTTACGGCATTTGCAGCACAATTGGGTCATAATGACTGCCTTAGATCAATAATAATTATTATAATAATCCTTCTTCGTTTCTGTTTTAAATGTGTAAGATGAATATTTGAAGTAATTTTGTTTTAGTCAGAACTCAACGTTGTGTGTTACTGTTGTACGTTGTACTGGATTGTAAAGCACTCAGAGCCTGTGTACTTTAAAGGGGGTTGAGCGCTATAAAAATGTCATTTATTATTATTATTGTTATTACAATACATCTCTTGGCGGTTAACAACATGTTTTTTTATGTTAACGCAAGATACAAGTAAAAGGACACTCTTTATTTAATGTGAAATTTAGAGATGTTTTTAGATAGTAACATGTAACACAAAAAAGGAGAAGTAAGAGCGATAGATGTGTAATAGGAAAGAAGGAGCAAACAACTCCAGAGCACCTGCCAGCCATCCACGAATGTGAGGAGATAAGTGGCTCTGGCGGCAGAATGGACGTGTTTGTTTCTTTCCTCTACAAGAGTTGTTTTGTTTTTTTACTTCTCTGTGTTTGTTGATTGTTTACGCATGTTAGTTTTCTGTTCAGTTGTTGATGTCGGTCCCTTTCATTCGTTCTTCTTTTCTTGGTTTCTATCATTTTTCTTGTCTTCTTTTACGCTATGGGCTTCTGACTTCTGTCTTTTATTCGTTTACGTTATATGATTTCAGTCTTCTGTCTTCTATTATTTTACGCTAAGTAGGCTTCTGTCTTCTTACTTTTATTCTTTTACGCTATATGCCTTCAGTCTTCTATATTTTCTCTTACGATATTTATGCTTATAATTACAGTGCAATCTGGTCCCCATTTTACAGTTCACGTTATGATTAACACCATCCCTACCTCCACCCCACCTCACCCCCACCCTCTTCCTATGTTTCCAGAAGTCCCAGAGGAGCTGTTCGCCCCAGTGGTCAAGCAAAGACTGACCACCATCACCACCACGGACGGTGGCCAGGCACGTTTCGAGACAGAGATCGTTGGCCTGCCCACGCCCAGCATCACGTGGTACAAGGACGAGCAGGTGCTGCAGCCCTCCGAGGAGTTTGAGATCGCCTACAGCCAGGAGAACGTCGCCTCGCTCTTCATACACGACGTGTTGCCAGAGGACGCCGGGAAGTATGTGGTGGTTGCTAAGAACGACCTGGGCACCGCCACCACTTCCGCCAACCTGGAGGTCGAAGGTGAGGGGGCGGGGAAACTGGGACGTGGGTAGCTAGATGGGGTGTGTGTGGGAGGGGGGAGGGTGTCTTTCTTGAGGTGAGGGTGAGGCACTGAGATGTGGGTTGTTTAATATGGTTGGGGGGGTGTTTGATTTTTGAAGGTGAGGTGAGGGTGGGGGACTGGGG